TTTCTCTTTCTTTTGTGTAATTTTCGTGCAACAATGCTAGGCAAAAGTATTTTTTGTATTAAATGAATGAAAAATCCAATAAATTGTAATTTTTAAATCAAGACTTATTGTTTTTAGTTATTTTTCGTGTTCTTAATTAAATATGTATGATTATTGTATTGTTTGAGTGCTTGATCGCCATTTAGCCAATTAGTTACTTATTTGTAGTGTTGGAAGACTAACAATAAGTAGAAACAGATAATATATATTAGGAATCCTATTTATAGTATATGTTATCATGGGTGATAGTCCTATGATTAAATGCGTGCTTTGAATATGAATTTGAACTAGGAATAAGATCGCATTATGTTAACATAGATTTAATGTATTTTGAAAGAGAATGCATATAAATGAATTATAGATTGTTATGAACATGTTAATCATGCTAAATCACATAACTTGAGATTTGAAACTAGACATCAATAGGTGGATTCTGAAATTCAATACATTCATTATATATATATATATATATATATAAGATAATTATAAAACAATCAAGTCTTTTGGATTAAAAACACCAAATTTGATGATACACTAGTGAACTATAGTTATCAATTATTCCTCATGTGATAATAACTCAACTGATCACATTCTTACTTGTCAACTATTATGTACTCTTATGGGTTTTGTCCAAACACCAACCAATTAGATGACATTTGCATTTCTCATGTAACATGGAATAATCAATTAGTTGATGCACTCATCATGCCCTTATCTACACTTCACTTTCACCTTTTATGATCGAATATAAGTGTCTCCAATGGATTCACTTTCCTAAGAAGGTATGTTAGAGATAAAGATAAAGTTTGTTTGAATATTTATAAGTAGCATCACTCTAGCATTTTTGTTTATCTTCTAAGAATATCTAGGGACGAGCACAAGGGGGTTTGGGCCGGAGGGTCACGCAACCCCCCAACTTCCCCCCCACCCCCACCCTACCCTCTAAATAAAGCTATGATTGATATGAATTAAAATATAAATCAAAATAAACCATTGATTTTACTAACATGTTTCATGAGACTCACAAATTTTCAACTTTTATCAACATTTACTATAAATTTGATTTTAATCTCTATCAGATAAAGACAAAATCACAATAGATTTGAACTTTTTCACTTTCCCTTGCACTCTTAGAACCTTAATTCTTCTAATTTTTTAAAATTTGTCTATAATTTCTCTACAAATTATAACATTTACTTCACTTCCTAATAATACTTTGAACCTAAATTTACATTTTCTCCTATCAAATTGTGCACATAGAATAAGCCTTAAATAATTATGTCCAATTTAACTTATATTTAATAAATTGTGTTTATTTGATTGAATATTAGTAATGAATATTGGTTATATGTTTTTTCTTTTTATTACTTGAATTGATTGTTTGTATCAAATGCACTATAAATTCTTTAAAGTAAACATTCATTTTCTTGTGATGAGCAAAATATTAATAAAAAGACTATTTAAAATCAAAATGGATGAAAATAATGAACAAAATATTAATAAAGGAATGTGGTTTTAAACTTAATTCTGTGTTTTCTCGAGTCAAGTATGAATTATTCAAAAATCAAGAACAAAGTATTCAATCTATACAATGTTTGATTGTGTCTCCCTAATTCAAAATGTCTACATCCGCCCCTGAGAATATCGCCAATGCATTCTATATATTACAGTCTAAGTGTTTGACAAATAGAAAAACTTATAGTCTACGTGACAGTGATGTCTAATAAATATACAGTCATGTTCCAAATTCATCTCCAACAAATTTCGTTTATACTAAAATTTATCATATAATAAAAGAAAATAAGTTCAACGTTTATTGACTAGCTCTATTTAATAGAGTCTTTATATTTAGACGATTTTTTGACATTATTTATTTTTCTCTTCCACGTATCTTGACAGTCCCAGTCGGTTTACATTAGAGAGACTTTTCTTAAACATAAACATCATCTATTTTTATTTAATGTTGCACACTTTTTTTTAACGATTCATGATTGCATAAGAGATGTATGTATCAAAGTGTACTTTAGTTGAAAGTGAAGTGACTGCATTTTAACTTGTCGAGACTTTGATGGACAATATACATTCTGAGCATAGGACACACCGAATCAGTTATGTACAAATAGTAACAGGGGCGGACCCACATGGGGTCATGTGGGGTCAAATGACCCCACAGTTTTCTGGAATTTTTTTTTTTTTTTTGCTGAAAACTTAATTTTTTGCACCAAAAAGTCCAAATCCTAAATCTATATCCATATTACATGGTCCATATCCATTATTTAGTCCATAGATATATCATATAATCCACCGATTTCTTCCCAAAGTGCAAATATCGAACATGAACAACAAACAACCGATTTTTCCTTTTTGTTCATAATATGTTGTTCGAAAAAAAAATTTTGACCCCACAGTTCGAATGATCTGGGTCCGCCCCTGAATAGTAACCATGATGACAAGGGCAATTGTTATGCCACTCTACTATCACATTCCAATATCTTGAAGGGGCCAATAAATCTTGATTCTAAATTTTCTTTCTTATCGAAATTCAAAAATCCCCTTCGTTGATGCCACTCTCACGAAAACCTTATAACATACTAGAAACTCGAAATCCCTTCTTCTATCATTAGCATTGCTCTTCTGCTAATTTTGGACTAGCATTATTTTTTATTTAATTCAATTTTTTGCTTAAAACATTTGCTAAATAAATTTTGGTCCTAAAATTCTTCTTTTGCCAATTCTTAAAGATCTACATTTTTTGCCATACAAGGCTTCATACTGTGCAAACCCTATTGCAACTTGATATCGTTGTTATAGGTAATCTTTATCCATGGTAATATCTTTTTCCTCAACTACCTCCAAAATCTAGAGTGCATGACGAGAGGTCTTGTTGTGAGTTGAGCAATGTAGGGCTGTACGCTTATGGTATATTACGAACATCAACATTTCTACATATGGAACACTTGCAATACAATGGAAACTACAACTATAATCTGGTGACATTGCTAACGTATAGCTGACTATACTAGTGATATTCATTCATGCTTGAAGGAAGCATGTTTTATTGATGGATATCAACTTCAGGTCGGTGAAACCTTACTAAATTTCATTTATTTCCTAAATTAGTTAAATCATTTTTTTCATATTTTTCAAATTGAGAGAATATAAAAAAGAGGAAAGTTTACAAATTCAAAGCACCAATTTAATTACTTCACGAGTAATACTAATTGTACATAATCTTTTATAGAATGTGGTGTACAAATAAAAGGAAAAAACAACTTGAAAGAGAGAAAAAGTCGAGAAAATGAAGTCAATTAAATTATAATTTCACACCATGTTGTATTAGGACTGGGCAAAGCTTTTGAACCTAACCCAAACCGAATCAAGCAGTTACTTGAACTGGTTCGGTTCTCGTCTCGATTCTAAATTAAGAACCAAAGAATCGAATAATAATTTTATCTCCCTAATTTTTAAATTTATTTATATTAAATAAGTCAAATTATTTTATTTTTCTAAATAAATTTGCTAACTAATTAATTTAGCTCAAACACAAAAATATGATTTTCCTAATTCTAATTTTTAGTGTAAATCCAATTTAATCAAATTGACATAAATTTACCCAAACCTATTATTCTACCATAGTGCCGTTTTTATCGTTTTGAAGAAATCGAATTAAAGCTCGATATCGCCTCTCTTAATTATTGTGTCCGCTATCTTTCTTTTCCTGTAATTTTAACAATCAAATCTATGAAAAACTGAGCAACGATAGATGCAAAAGATCCATAAGATCAGACTACGTTATTTTGTAAAAATTAAGATTGAAGTTTTGTAAAAATTAAAAAAATTAATTATAGTACGAAACTAGGGTCCCGAATGGTTTCATGACTAAATTTGAACTTGACTGTTCCACGTACTAAATATCTGAAAATTTTGAATCCAGTTTGGACGAGAAACGACCCGAGCCACACCCAGCCCTATGTCGTATACTGTTTTGTAAAGAAAAAAGCTTGTTCGTGGACCTAATATTTCAGCCAATGATTGGCAATGTTTTGTTTTATTTATTTTTAATTTTTAACGAAAATTCGTCAAGTATCTCTGTGTAAAAATCAGTTGATCTAGTTCTCATAACTTTGTACATTTTGTAAATAATTATGTACAAGTATTAAGGGCTGTGTTTGGTGTAGATAATTTTATGTACATAACACTCATGTGGGTGCGACACCGATGTGAGCGTGTGGCTACCATTATGTACATAAAATTACGATATCTGTGTGAGTGTGTGAACACCATTATGTACATATGAGTTTGATCTTCTAAGTATCGGTTCTTAGTTAATACGAAGCACCATGCTTAGGTGACGCACTACAATAAATGGTGTAATTAGTTTTAAAACTACAACTATGCTGCCCATACAGGCTTATCTGCACAGGGCCTGCCCTGTGCAAATGGACCTGTGCAAGAAGTTTTTTTCTTAGAATTAATCATTTTTTTTCATGAGCTCTTATAATATGTCACGTCACTCTGTGTTTAATATAAGTTATGTGCGGATATTTAAGAAATTATTACTTATTATGTACATAAAATTACGATATCTGTGTGAGTGTGTGAACACCATTATGTACATATGAGTTTGATCTTCTAAGTATCGGTTCTTAGTTAATACGAAGCACCATGCTTAGGTGACGCACTACAATAAATAGTGTAATTAGTTTTAAAACTACAACTATGCTGCCCATACAGGCTTATCTGCACAGGGACATCAGGCCCTGTGCAAATGGACCTGTGCAAGGAGTTTTTTTCTTAGAATTAATTATTTTTTTTCATGAGCTCTTATAATATGTCACGTCACTCTGTGTTTAATATAAGTTATGTGCGGATATTTAAGAAATTATTACTGTATGTACATAAAATTAGCTTTATCCAAGTATTAATTCACATTGAAAACCTCATAAACTAAAATTATGGATGCTGTCCGATAAACCCTTCTTATCGTTTTTTCACCTCAATTACCCCTTTTCTATCGCTCTCCGCCCCCCCGCCCCCAACCCGCCGGGAGAGGTAGTGTAGAGGGAAAAGAAATCAGAAGTGCTGTGCCTAAAACAATTTCTTTCTCATTATAGATCCCACTAGTCTTTAAACACGATTGTCCCATATATATACAACACTCCATTGAAAAGGATTCTTGAGAAAAAATCTGTCCCCGTGTCTTCGCATGCTTAGGTATATCTCTGGTGCTATAGACACAATTTATTTATTTATTTTTGCTGATATCGTGAACTATAGGTATGCGCTCTTTAATACGTTTGCAATCAGAAATCCATCTATCTGGGCTTGCTAAAAAAAAAAAAAAAGAATATTAAACAAATAGAGGGTTGAAAGGTGTTCAAACTCCGTCGTGTATATCTGATAAAGATTGGATCTTTAATGGGTTTTTCTTCCTTTTCATTTAAATGATTTAGCTGCTGACGGATAATAACTTGCTAGAGTTGATGACTGTTCGTGTTTGATAATAATTTTTTTTTTCTGTTAATAGGATTAGAAGTATTTATAAGCTTCCAAGATTGGATATTGGATTTGCGAAATTAATCAAACTCTTTTTCTTTTTTTTCTTTTTCTTTTTTCTTTCTAGGTTTTTTGCAGTGCCCTGACTTCTGTTGCATAGGTTTTCGGTTTCAAGTGCAAGATATCACTTGGGATTGATTTTTAGATATTTTTGGCCTTGTAGTGTTTATTTATATTTTTGTTTGAATAATATGTTGGTTTTACACTTTAAATTAGGGTTTATGGTTCTTTGTTGTCTTCCATTGGTTTTAGGCAATAATGGGGAAAAAGGTTAAGAAGAAGGCAAGAAGTGGTCAAAAGGAAAAACGAGGTTCTTCCTCTTCTCCAAAACCAATTTCCCAACAAGGCATTGACAATGTTGAAATTCATGAGAGTGGAGGGGCAGTTTTAAATGATAGAAGAGTGTGTTCCCATATTGTCAAGGGAATTAATTTGGAGAATCTTTCTTCTAAACTTGGGTCGTCAGAACCTATTGCATGTGAAGATTGTCGTGTTAATGTGGCAGATAGACGGGGTAGCAGAGGAAAAGCTAAGCATGGGAAGAAGGGAGGGAGGGATTCAAAATCGGAGTGTAAAGCAATTTGGGTTTGTTTGGAATGCGGACATTTCTCCTGTGGAGGTGTGGGATTCCCAACCACGCCCCAAAGTCATGCAGTTCGACATGCGAAACAGAGGCATCATCCGCTGGCTGTCCAGTATGAAAATCCTCAACTGCGGTGGTGTTTTCCTTGCAATACATTAATTTCAGCTGAAAAATCAGATGAGCACAATGATGTCTTACATGAAATTGCAAAAATGCTAAGGGAGCAACCTCCTGAAGGGTCTAATGCAGACGTTGAGGATGTGTGGTTTGGGGCTGGCAGTGTGACTGGTGGAATGAAAGAAAACTCTGTATCAATTGGTTCAGATAGAAGAGGTAATTATTCGGTTACAGGTATTGTTAACTTGGGGAATACATGTTTCTTTAATTCAACTATACAGAATTTATTGGCTATAAATAAATTACGGGATTACTTTTTTAAATTAGATGAATCTGTTGGTCCACTTACTGCTGCTCTGAGAAAGCTTTTCCTTGAAACCAGCCCAAAAGCTGGTATAAGTAGTGTGATAAATCCGAGGTCTTTATTTGGTAGTGTTTGTTCCAAGGCTCCCCAGTTTAGGGGGTATCAGCAACACGATAGTCATGAATTGCTTCGATGTTTGCTCGATGGATTGTACACTGAAGATTTGAGTGCAAAAAAGCACATCAATTCATCTCAGGATGATGGGAAATCTATGGACACAGATCCCACATTTGTGGATGCTATATTTGGTGGGAAACTTTCAAGCACAGTTAGTTGTTTAGAATGTGGGCACTCTTCAACTGTTTATGAGCAATTTTTGGACCTGTCATTGCCAGTTCCTACTAAGAAGCCTCCATCCAAAAGGGTGCAGGCAGTCTCTCGAGGCAAGAAACCAAAATTGCCTCCGAAAAGAAGTGGAAAGATTCGCTCCAAAGTCACCAAAGATGCATTTATACTACCAGCTCAAAGTGTTGCTGACCAATCAAGTGGTGACAAGTTTTCGGGAGAGGTGCAGTCGAGTTTACTTCCAGCAGAGCAATTAGCGGTATCAGATTCCACTAACACAAATGATATTGCTAACGATATGGGTTTGTCACCCTGGGATCTTTCGGCTATGGAAAAGTCTGATTACCAGCAAGGAATTGAGAATGTTGGAGGGAAGTCAAGTTCACCAGATAGTTCTGCATGGCTAGAATATGTTGAACCAAATGCAGCATCAGATAACATTGATATGGCCTCAGAAATTGATGATCTTTCAGAAAACCAGGGTACAGCTAATGAAAATGCTCATCAGAATAATGGCACTTTTCTGAATGCTCTGGAATCTAGTAGAGAGTGCAATTCACTACATTTGACCTCAGCACCTTCCTCAGACAATGTCAGACTGTTGAACTCTCTTGAACAAGGTATATCTGCCAGCGAGCATATTTTGGTTTCACAATCTGATGAGAAATGTTTGCCTAAATGTTCCGTGATCAAGGAAGCTATTCAGGATGATACTGATTTAGAAGGTAGCTCAGAATCCTGCAATCAGGTTTGCAATAAAGGTTCAAATCCTGATGTCAGTTCTTCAAGGAGAGATGAGGAATTGCCATTACAGATTCAAGATTCTGAAGTTCTGTTGCTTCCGTACAAAGAAGATGCCCCAACTATTGACGAGGTATCAAAAGGAGAAAATGAGGTCTCCTCTTCGGCTCTTTGTGGTGAACAAGATTCCTTAGAATTTGACGGATTTGGAGACTTGTTTAATGAACCTGAGGCTGTGATTGAAAGCAATCACACAGGTTCTTCTGAGGCAAGTGAAATCATTAAAAGTGGATTTGGTGTTGGAAACAGCAGTGGTTCTGATCAAGATGAGGTTGATAATACTGATGCTCCAGTTTCTGTAGAGAGTTGTTTGGCCTATTTCACAAAGCCAGAACCTCTTTCCAAGGATGAACATGGTTGGCAATGTGATAATTGCTCAAAAGTTTTACAAGAACGAATGGTTAGATTGAGGGTGAAATTACAAAAAGCCAGATCAGAAATTGCACTCGATGATTTTGATGATAGGAATCTAAGTGATCCATTGACTCAAGGCAAAAATTGTGCTAAAGTAAAATGTGTGATTGGGAATGTGGAAAAATATGTACCTCACACATCTGATGACAGCTTAAAGAACATAGAGGTTATTGATAATAGAAATTCAATGCTTGAACACAATCCACAAGCTGAGTTGAATCCAATAGCTCCCCAGATAGAAGACAGAAAACCAGGTAACGCAAGTGCTTGTCCTGGTCCAGCAGAGGTTTCACGTTCGAGTTGCCGAAATGGTGTTAATTGCATTGTAAATGATGAATTCTGTGGTGAAAGTGGCATCAATACAACTCAATCTGGAGAGGCTGATGAATTTGCTGAACAAAGTGAATCAGAATTAAGTGAGGAAGACGATGTGGATTCAGAAAAGTTGAAAGTGAAGAGGGATGCAACTAAGAGAATAGTCATCGATAAGGCTCCTTTTATCTTGACAATCCATCTAAAAAGGTTCAGCCAAGATGCTCGAGGTCGATTGAGTAAATTGAATGGCCATGTGAATTTTAAAGAGACAATTGATCTCAAAAGATACATGAATCCCAGGTATGATATCACTTGACCTTTTGTTCTCTTCTCCAAATTTTGTTAGTGTATAATCCTTTTAGTTTCCTCTTAATTCTAATAAGATTTACTTCTATCTCATCAAAATTTTCAATGAGAAAATGCTACTTTATTATCATGGTGAAGAAAAATCTAAAACTTTTGTTTCTGTAACTATTAAAATGTATCTTTGCCACTTTATGCTGTTAGCTTCTGAAGTAATGGCTTTTATCTTTCATAATGTAATTTAAATTGGTTATTTTCATTGATATTTCATCATAAGAGCACATCAGTGTATTAAGAGTGCACAATGTCTACAAAAGGCATTTCTCTCAAGAAATCAGAAAAAGACGTGTCTGTATTTGGATAAGCCGCATTAAGCTTAAATTACAGTATTAAAGAACTGTGAATAATATTTATCCTTAGCATTAAATATTTGTCTGTCAACAAATTTAGATTTTCATCTTCACTTGTACTGTCTGTTCGGGACAGATTGTTTGCTATTTTTGGAGAATATCTCGCAATGCCAATGTCTTCAACATATTTCTTCCACATTAATTCTTGGGCTTCAGAGGCGGCAAGGATGGTATAGTGTGACTGAGGAAATTGCTTGTTTAACTTTGACTTGACTTCTAATTTCAGGAATTGAGAACTTCTCATCCTCCTTAATTTTATATAATCCTTCGACAAAAAATCCCGAGCAGTATCAAAATCAAATCTGTTTCTCTCAACCAAAAGCTTCATAACAAGCAAAAAAGTGAGCGTATGATGTCGTCCTTTGCCTATACTTGGTAGTTGATAAAAGCCCAGGTCATTAACATCCCTGGCAGAGGATGCGATTTTCATCCCCCTGGTTTCCAACAGCATACAGTATTTAAGAAAGCTATCTAACAGTTCTAACTGTTAATACGTTTCTAGACTGCAGCTTCCTGAACTTCTCTTCCACAATCAAATACACTGCCCTGAATTGTTGCTTCTCATCAACTGCCACACACTAGATCAGGAAAGTACTCTTTCAGATATTTATCTCTAATTGAATTTCTCCGGAAAGCCTATACTGTATCGAATATCAACTTAGTGGTCAAAACTTTTGCTTAACCTTCCCACACGTATCTTATGCCTTCAATTTATCAGCACAAATTCTGACAGTTTTCCAGATCCATCAAGCTTGAATTCCAGATGCACAGTAACTATTGTTCGAGCTCTCTATAAGTTTCTTGTTCCAATACATTGCCAAGATCCCTGTGTGATATGATTTTGAACTCTTCCTGTCTTGCAGTCAATAATTTGGCCAAAATAATTTTGCAGGTTATTGTTCTTTTAGGCATCTCAATGAGAAATGTTGAATGAGTTCCATTTTTTTTTTTTTTTTTTTTTCCATCGGTGTTGTATGGACACTTCAACTAGGGCGGCATGTCCTTGTCCAACACGTTTAATGTTGTATCAGATATTGACACTCCTTTGACGATCTACCATAGTTATTTTTCCTTTTTTGGTATCAGTAATATATAGTTTTAACTCCAAATTATTATAATATAACAAATAGATACTCTTGTTTAAAAAATTTCAACCATAGAAATTAGTAAGTATAAAACTAAAATTATAATATATAAAAGAAGAATTTTGAATAATTTATTGACATGGTGGTACTTTTTTGAAAATCGAATGTCATGCATCATATTGTTTTTGTAGATCGGACGTGTAAGGGCTATCCTGTGTGATTCTTAGTTTTCCTTTAAGGTCATCATATTCCATGAAGTTTGTGGAAAACCTAAAAATTAGAAAAGAGTTGTAGGGAACTTGTGAGAGGGAGAAAGGGGGGGGGGGGGGGGGGGGGTGGGGGGGGGGGGTGGACAACTTTCGGTACAAATAGAATTATTTTTCAAGTGAAACACAAGTTTCTACGATTGGAAAAAAAAAAAAAAAATCTTTCTACTGTAGATACTTTTGAGTTCAGTCACTTTTTAATTTATATATTTCGACAGATCTACGAGTACTATTCACTGATTCATAGCTCATTTTTATTTATTCATAATTTAAGAATTTATAATTGTGACCAGGACAATGATTTTTGTCGTGGGTAACTCAGCACATGCTGCTATAAAATCGGGTTGTAATATTAATAAGACCAGGTTGATAAATCTTCTCTGAAGACAAAAAAAAAAAAAAAAAAGAAAAAAAAAAGAAAAAAAACATTGAAATATAAATTCTAAACTACCGCAGTGTCCTGTGCTATTAATTAGTAGCATTACTTTTAAAGGGTCCATTTCATGGTAGTGAATATAAAAACGTGGTATTAATTGTTTTGAGTAAATTTCATTAATCGTGGCTGAAAATTAAGAAAAATATGATCGTTATCAATCACATCAAGCCATAAAATTTGAATTTCTATCTCTTGTGTGGGGTTCATAACGAATATATTTTTCATTCTTATTTTGATGAAAATGGGAAACAAACAGGGCCTTAATGTTAGTACTGTAATACTGAGAAGAATAAAGGTTTTATATATGCTCTTGTGAATTTAGTGGGCTTCTAAATTCTTAGCTCTCTGTTAACTCAAGGATAATAGTATTAGAAAAGACTTGACACTTTATGTTCAGTTAGCATGCTAATCTGATTGGGGAATAGAAGTTCTAGCCCAAAAGTATCTTCTCTTATTCTGCTTGAAGTTTATCTTGATCTTTACCGTCTAAACTACTTTACAGACAATGTTAATACCTAACATCAAATCTGTGATACCATCTGAAATTTTACTCATTTATTTACAGGTGTACTGAAAGAGACGTGTATGTGTATCGTCTGGTTGGAGTGGTGGAGCATTTGGGGACCATGAGAAGTGGCCACTACGTTGCATATGTAAGAAGTTCCAAGGGTGAGAATGGAGATAGCGTGTGGTATCATGCCAGTGATGCTCATGTGCACGAAGTTTCCTTGGAGGAAGTTCTTCGCTGTGAAGCCTACATTTTATTCTATGAGCGTACTTGAGGAAGATCTCTCTCTCTCTTTTTTCTTTTTTCTTTTTTTTTTTTATTGTTTTCTTTTTGTTGTGAAATTGAGTGGGAGGTAGGGAGAGATGGGGAGAGAGATGAGTGTACAATACCGATAACCTAATAGTCAATACACAAATTTTTTTGGGCTGCAAAATGTGAAAATGTATAATTTTAAAATTCAACATTGGATAATGTTGTTTTCCAGTTATTGGAGAAGGATTTTTAAGTTTTGGGTTGGATAATTCATATAGTTTCCATGTTCACTTGAGAGGGAATAAAGAGACCCCCTTTAGAATCTTTTACTAGAATAGGAATGAGTTGCATTATGCAAAATAGAATACATTCATTCGACTTCTAATAGCTTTTCTTGACTAGGCTTGAGTCGCCCGCTCATCATATAACTTTACACATTGTACCTACTCTCGATTAGGGTGACTTTTTGATGAATTTCCATGCTAATAGTTTTACTCCACTGTTGCTACGTGGTTAGCATTGAATTGTAGTTTCAACCACACATCCTAATACAATATGAGTAATGTTATATAGCACTATTATTGCTTAATGGTAGTCAACTCGTCTGATTTATTGTCTATTAAGTAGAGATGTATTTTGATTCATTGAACAATGAATTTGTGGATTCTTGCTAAACACTAGTGATGTTACATAATATTATTCATACAACAAACAGATGATGCTACACATACATTAGGTGCTCATAACATGTGAGGGGGATATACTTCCAATAAAATATAATTTACCCGAAGTGGATTCCTCTCCATGTGAAGGGATGGACACCATTATGAACATCGCATTATGTACAAGTAGTATTTCCCTACAGCAAACAAGGAGATTGAAGAAGCGGCCCAACTAGGCCAAGTGAACTAAAGAGGATCGTATCACTTGTCAATTCATGAAAGATTGGGGATAACACTAGAAAAAATTAAAGATCGAAGATAAAAGTGAAGGATGGAGTAGAAGTCGGGAACAATGACTAATGATTGACATTTTTTCCTTATTGAAGCTAGAGGTTTTTCCCCTTGATCTGCTTTATTATTGCCATGGGATAATAGTATATATGGGGTCACAATTTGATTTGATTAAGTTAATGGATGAAGGTTTAATTCTCGGCTAGTCAACCGTACACTAAATCAATAAAATTTGTATTTCTATACCTCCTTTTATAATTTGGAGAGCTTCTGTTCCCGTAGGCCATGAAAGTAGATATAGTTTTGGCACTATATTTGAATAATAATAAGGAAAAATATACGATCAAGTATGGATGGAATAAATTCAAAGTGTCTACAAAGACAAGTCGAGGAGAGTGAAGTCAAGAAGGTGAATGTGAAAGAGAATTTGGTGCAAATGGTCCCTAACGTATCCCTTCAGTGTCGCAATGACCCCTAACATTTGTTTTTTGGCATGGATGTTCCTGAACTATGTTTTTGATGCATAATTGGTTCTTTTTTATGAAAAAGACCAATATTCCCTTAATTTTAATTAGGGAAAATTACATTTGGATCCCTGACCTTTGAATTCATTTTAGATAGCCTGAATTTATCACATGGCTCATCTTGTTGGCTTAACATGGACAAGGGCCTAATAGAAGGAAACATGGAGGACTAGTATTAATGGCAGCCAAAAGATGTGTTGTGAGGGGGATTGCACACGGATAGAGAGGGAAAAGAGGTCTATTGTGGTGAGTTCGTCATAGAAGAGTTCGTTGCTGAATCTACATAGATGAAAAACTAGAAAAAAATGTACGCGCAAGTTTGCGACGTATGTTTAGCTTTCTAGTTTTGTGTAATGAGAACTTGAAAGAGTGAGGAAAATATTGTATTGTGAGGTTTTCTTATTTAATAAAATCTTCTTCTCTTGTGGTCGTTAGCAGTTTACGATATTGTTTTCTCTTTCTTTTTTTTTCTTTTTTTTTTTTTTTTAAAATTGGTTTTCATTTTAGCTTGCATTCGCCGCATATTTATCTCTTGTTTGGGCTCCATTTTTTCAAATTATAATGAAATGAATAGTAATTTTTTGAAGAATGTGTGATAAAAAAAAATTATAATTTTATGTCTAATATTATTTTATTAAAGAATGTTTAGTTAATAAGAAGAAATAGAAAAATGAATTTTAATTTAATTGGGGCCAAACAGGTGCTTAGTCCCATCACGCACACTCTCTATCAGGAGTTATAATGTTTCTAACTTTTTCCGTGTATATCAATCCATTATAAGTCAAGGCAGACTAATGATCGTTAATTACCATTTATGTCCTCTAAATTCATATTTTTTTCAACGCGGTTGCTCATTTTCAACCCTAGTTGTTTCTTTTTAAGTAGAGACGACAAAAATGCCTCACCTTTCTTGGTAAGGATTCCCTAGTTAGTCGGGGAATCAAGATGGGGATGAGGTGTTAGAATTCTCTAGAAATTTGAATCTTAAGAACTTGAAAATACTTCTATCTTTAGTGCCAAAATTCTCCAGTCAAATCGCCAAGAGAATTATTAAATGCATAATACACTTCGATTCATTGGGAATGATTCTTTAATAGTGAATTTGATTCTGAATCTTGAATTGGGCTTTTTTATTACAACTTATTGATCTTGAGTTTTTGTTCTTGGTTGTAGGATTTGTATCTTTCTTTCCAATATGAATTCTCTTCTTAAAAAAAAAGGTTGAACCCCAACCTTAAGGGCTCCCACCGACCCTGTCCTGGGCCATCATGGAGGAGGTAAATCGCAGGATATGCCTCCCAGGAGCCAGGGTGGAGAGCACATGGATAGGCCAAGGCTGTTAACCCATATGGTAACTCCCGCTTGCAACAAAGCCAATTCCACCTTGCGGGGAATCGAACTCTGCACACTGCCGCGCTGAGCCCTATCCGCCCTCCCCTTTGCCACTGGGAGATATGCCCTGGGGGCTGAATTCTCTTCTTATTCTTATGTTGATGTGATGACACTTTGAGTGAGAATCGCACATGAATTGGGTATATACAATTACTAACTACATTCATACCAAAATCAAACTAGATAACTACTTGATAAAATTTGTGATACCTTGACTGAAAGCTTGCTTAAGCCCATAGATGAATTTCTTTAATTTGCAAACCATTTTTTTTAAGTCTCCTAACACGAAGTTTTCCTGTTGTACCACATAAATTGTCTCATCAATTACACCATTGAGAATCGTTATATTTACAATCATCTAATTAATGTAGTTCAAGATCAAAATGTGTCATTAATGCCATAATATTGTTGAAAGAGTCTTTCCTAGAAATTGGAGAGAAATTTTTCTGAAATAAATGACTTCCTTTGGAGAAAAACCTTTTTGCAACAAGATGAGCCTTATATCTCTCTGTATCATCTTCAAATCCTTCTTGATTTTAAATATCCATTTTCAATCAATGGGCTCACACCTTCAAGCAATATGATGAGTTTCTAAACGTCATTTTCACTCATGGACTTTATCTCTTCATTCATAGAATCAATCCACTCTTAAGAATTATCCCTCAGCATAACTTGATGAAAGTTGATTGGATCTTCTTTCACCAATCTAATGTCATCCTCATTTCTTGGAGAAGCTATAAAATCATTTAGAATTGTCTTTCTCCTTTCTCTAGTGAATTTCTTTGAGCCTGTTTAGGAGTGATTTAGAGAATTAATTTTTTGACCGTTAGGAAAAAATGAGGTTCGCCTGTGAGAGAAGAAGTCAAATATGACTACTGAAATAGTGAAATAACGGTCAAAAAATCAATTTTTGGGAGGAAAAATCGCTCCCAAACAATCCCTTTATTTGCATTTGTTTTTTTATGTTGAGTTTGTTCTTTTAGAACAATCTCTTTATTGTGTTCTAATTATGAAATATTATCTTGATCTGAAATTATTTCTAGAACAAAATCTAAAGTAAGAATTTGTCCCCTGGTCCTGATCATTGTCAATTGTAGCAAAAAAAAAAAGTAGTTATATATTAATCCTTAAAAGACAAAATTTTTAACCTTAAAACCTCATCTCCCCCCGCAAACTCCATATCCTCAAGGAATTGAACATTTCTCTTTTTGAAATTGACCTGATAGCAGAATCATAAAATTTGTAATCTCTTAACCTTTCATAATATCCAATAAAATATCAACCGGCGATTCTAAAATCCGATTTCTTTTTTTTGGCCTATAAGGCCTTGCCTCAACTAGATAACCACAAATGTGCAAGTATTTCAAAGTAGGCTTCTTACTTGTCCAAAGCTCATAAGAGGTTTAAACAGTTGCTTTACTTGGAACTTTATTGAGAATTTAAGCATTGGTTATTAGTGCTTCTTCCCAGAGAAATTTTTAGTAAGATTAAATGACTAATCATACATCTTACCATGTCCTTAAGTGTACTAATTCGTCTCTCAATAACACTATTCATGTAAGGAGACATGGTGTACTGTGCGACGATTTTGTATTCATCTAGGAATTTAGCAAAAGGTTCTAGACGTTATTCTCTTGACCCATCATATTTACCATAGTATTTACCACCACGATCAAATTTGATGTGGTTAATTCTTTTGCTGAGTTAATTTTCAACCTCAATTTTATAAGCCTTGAACATGTCCAATGAT